TCTTAGCTTTATTAGATGTGTCAGTGCCATAGTGGCAAGAGTGTGCAATTCGAAGAATGGATTCATTAATACAAGGTTAAATGTTAAATTTGGTCTCTCAACTTTAAAAAATATATATTTTTGATCCCTCAACAATTTTTTACATTTTTTTGATTCTTAAACTTTAAAAAATGCACTCCGTTAGTCATTTTGTTAATTTAGATCGTTAACTCGTCCATGTGGCATTTTTTATAGTTTTTTTGATGACATAGCAAAAACAAATTAAAAAGGTGTTGATGTGGAATTTTTTTTCATGATAGCTCATGCCAACTTAGATTATTAGTATTTATATTTTTAAAAAATAAAATAAAAAAATGCGATCCATCTTCTTCCTTTCTTTTTTTCTTTTCCTTTCTTCCTCTTCTTTCTTCCTCTTCTTCCTTAGGTCATTGAGCCCAGTTTGCTGGGTTTGACGGAACCTCGCTTGGGTTCCACCGAACCCAGATCTGCTGGGTTTGACGGAACCCAGGTCCACTTTTTTTTTTTTTGTTATATGATTGTTTGTCAAGAGATTATCCAAATTGCAAGTTGTTGTGAGCGATTTTTGGGCAACTGTTTTTTTTTTTTTTTGTTATATGATTGTTTGCCAAGTGATTATCTAAATTGCAGGTTATTGTGAGTGATTTTTGGGCAGCTGGGTTCCAGCGAATCGAGTTTGGTTTGATGGAACCCATTTGCTGGGTCACATCGAACCCAGCTCCACTTTTTTTTTTTGTTTTTGTTATATGTTTGTTTGTCAAGAGATTATCCAAATTATAGGTTGTGAGTGATTTTTGGAATTTTTTTCTTCATATTTTTTAAGTATTGTCTAAATGATTTCAATCTTGAAAATAAAAAGAACATCGTCAATGGAAAGAACAGAAGCAATAACCAATGGGCAAAGAAGCAATTCTTAGTGGTGATGTGGGACCCATTTGGATGGATTTGGCGCGTTTTGATCACGAAAACATGACGTGGCAAAAGTTTTGTGCATATCATCACTTTTTTAAATTTTGCTCTCCACATCATCAAAAAAAAATATAAAAAAATGCCACATGTACAGAGTTAATGGCCCAAATTAATAGAAGGACTAATGGTGTGTATTTTTTATAGTTGAGGGATAAAAAAAATACAAAATATTATTGAGGGATCAAAAATGTGTATTTTTTAAAGTTGAGGGACCAAACTTAGCATTTAACCTTAATTAAAATGGGAATATATCATATTAGTATGATCAATCTTAAAAGAAAAAAGGAATCATTTTATGCTTTAC